TGCTGCAAAAATAGATGTTATTTATGTAGTTTTCAAGATCACAAAAGGGCTCCCAGATATGATTATGAACTTGGCGTGATTGTAGAAAATTCCGAGTTTCTGACAATTTTTTTTGTCATTTCAGAAATGGTTGGAACAGCATTAGTGTCTACAGTAGAATACGTTTCACCTAAATCGTCATCTTTCTCATTACGACAAAACGTTTTTCTCTTGTATTTCAACAGCACATGCATTAACATAGACTTTATATCTCGAAAACGTTTTTGAATTTATCATTTGTTCACAGAGTGGTCCTAAAAAAAAATACAAATTTTGGTCTTGCAGTGATGCATTTTTTTCTGTTCAACATACACGTTTATTTCTTGAACCCATTTTCAAAACCTTGGGTTCATGTGGAAGCTAAAACTTCATCAGGAAAAAAATCAAATATACCGGGTTGCATTAATTATTGGAAAGTGAACTTCATTTTCTTTTACTCACAGATTTCGGGAGCAATTCTGCTTTGCCTCATTATTCATAGAACCCTGTATATCGAATTTTCGAATTGGAGTTTTAGCTTCAGCCTGAGCTCAAGACAGACAAGCAAAAATCGGACCAAGAGGAGAAAAGTTACCGCTGCAAGACCAAAAACTTTATTTTTTGAGATCATCCTGTAAACACAAACGATGGCCTAAAAATTCACAAACAGTTTCGAGGTATTTGGCTTATCTTTGAACTTTTGGTGTTGAGATGCAAAACACATTTTGTCTTATCCAACAACAAAGTTCGGCCTGCTACTGACCTTTCCAACATTTTGTATTTTTTCATTTGCTAAACTGTAGAAAATTTGTCTGAGATGCCTGATTTTTAACAAAACATTGACCAAGAGAAAACAACAGGGGCTAAATAATGCTGCAAAGAGAAACCAAATGGCTTGAAGCAATCAGAATTTATCCACTTGAGCAGTTTATATAGAAGTAAGTTTAAGGCATATACTGGGTGTCCCATAAGTACCTGATCAAAATGGTACTAAAACCGTCTTTTGCTCAAAAGAATCTGACGATCTGACCTTACTATTATTAACCCAGATACTTCCACTTCTCTTTTGGAATCATTTTACAGATCCAGATTAAAAAAGTTTCCGCATCAGACTCCTGCGGAAATATTAAACATTACTAATGGATTCTCCCTACAACGTCAATATTTTGGCACAAGTTTCAAAATCGTTCTAAACGTTATTAAATTTGCACAAACAATGAATCATTGACTTTAAATCAAACACGAATCGAGGCTCAGGGGATGAAGAAGATGCCAATCAAATAAATATAGAAGTAGATTGGAAAATAGCAAAATTCCTTATAGAAACAGTGCCACAAGCTAAACTCTGGCAATCATCCAGCATTGAGAATAGATAATTTGAACTGCGTTTTGTTCAGTTGATTCACTATCCGTTGGTTAAAATGCACATACCATTAAAATGTTAATAGAGCCGATTAGGATTAGGATTAATTTGCACATACATACTAATTGAAAAGTAAAATTTCAATTTATTGACTAGATTAAGGCCGTAGTGAGGCACCATTGAAAAAACTGTGATGAAGCTGACGTCAGTTGAAACGTTCCATCAATACAAAGAGAGCTTGGTGGCTTTTTGTTCCCTTGCTCTCTTCCCGTTTGTACGTATTGGCGTGCCTCAGACGACAAAGGTGTCCTTCATGCTTCTAAATATGGACTCTTTTTATCGCTTTCCGCATTGCATTTATAAGCGGCAATTTTCGGATTTTTACTCGCCGCCAACTTCTACATTTATATTATTATTATTAATGGCGTTTTTAATCAAGCTTAAAGTCAAGAGCATTCATATCAGATGCATTTACCGACTAATTATTATCTAGCTTCATTGCCAACTAAATCGCTATTTCCCATTTGTTTATTGTAACTTTATTGCGTGCTTATCGGCCATCCAGAGATTTCAATCGTAGAGATTGTCTTCTATTCAATTAGTTTCCTTGAACGTGGATAACTTTTTCACCAGGATCTAAGGTAAATTGAAAATCCTTAGAAACATCCACTTCTGCGTAAAATTCGAGTAGCTTTGGTTGAGCAATTTACACAATTTAGAACGTAAAACTCTTTGTAGGTCAATGTCGCAGTGGCAGCTTAACTTGGGACGAGATTAAGTAATTTTTAACCTTTAATTTCATTGGAATGTTAATT